AAAGATTAAGTGATTATAATAGATCACTAAGTGGTAAATTTTTACCTTTCTCAAGTGCAAATAAGCTTTGATAGAAATCAGTGTCCAAAACAGGCCCTTTTCTTTGATTGGAAGCAGATGTTACTCAATTCCCCTAATTATTGAATCAATATCTGTGGAATTCCTGTGTTAGAACCTACATTGTCTCTTATTTTGCTTTTTGTAGCTAGAACTGCAGAAGTTTCTGTGAGTGACTTTAATTAGTATTCACTCTATACAACTATTTGTGATCAGAAATCATGACTTTTTTTAGCTTCTCATTGGCCAGTGTCCAACAGAGTGTCTTGTATATGACAAGTGTATGTTGAATTTGGTAATGTTTCTTTGTTTCCATTTTTTTTTTTTGGGCTAGGCAATGGGGTTAAGTGACTTGCCCAGGCTCACACAGCTAGTAAGTGTCAAATGTCTGAGGTTGGATTTGAACTCAGGTCCTCCTGACTCCAGGGCAGGTGCTCTACCCACTGTGCCACCTAGCCACTCCAATTTGATAATGTTTCTTGAGCAATATTAATGGAAACAGCCCTAGATTTATGTAGTCAGTGGACTAGAGTTTGAATTCTGGGTTTCTACCTATGTTACCTTGGGTAAGTCACTGAATCTTTCTGGGTTATCTTCCTCATTTATAAAACAAGGGAGTTGTAGACAACTTCTAACGTTCCTTTTAGCTCTAAATATATGAACAAATAATGTTAGACTAGGTTAATTACTGATTGAATCTTAATCCAGTTCATTTGCATATCAAGGCATCACTCCATGACGTCATTGGTCCTCTTCAAAAAACTAAGGACCAACAGCTACCACCTTATAACTTTTAGTTCCTTTTTTGCACTGCTTGTTTAAAAAATTCGGGCTAAAGTTAGACAGTACAGCTAAAACAACACTGATGCTGATTTGTTGTTTTCTGACAACTGGTCTGATAAAATTATCTGAAACATTGGTTATTTTTACATTTAGAATTTTGCTAAATTTGTTTTACTTTTAACCATTTTCTAACATTTGAGATTTGCAATAAACATATAACAGATTTGCAATGCTTAACATTTATTCGAGCATCCATTTATTGCAAAACATTGTGTTGCCATAGCCTCTACCCTCAAGAAGCTTAGGCTATTTAAGCCTGAAACCATGAAAAAACCTACCATTCAATTTAGCTCAAGTGTGTCTTGCCATGTCTCTTAGCCAAAAAGCAATAAAAACTTGACCTTATGATGTATGGCAACTTCGGGATTCATGTGAGGAAGGCTAAAAGAAGTTGAAGAAGGAAGAAGTCATCTAACTCTATTCCCCTCACTTTCCAGTTGAGGAAATGGAAGTCCTGAGAAGTTACATACATTTCTTAAAGTTATACAGCTAATAAGTAGCAGAGCTGGGACTCTAACTCAGGCTTTCTGACTTCAAGTCCAGTATATTCCTGGGTATAGCTGAGCCAATTGTTGAATTCTTAGTGTGAATATTTATACCTGTGAAATTGGCAAATGGTACTAATCAGGAATTCATTTACTGTTTTGTTGATTCTCTAGACAAGTGATGGAGAAAATGTTAATAATGCAGATTAAAATTAAAAGAGTTTATTGAATACATTTTTTTGGAGAACCAGTTATTGTTTAACTATTATTTTGATTTAATTTTTGTGTGTTCCATCACTATCTTGCATTACTCTAACATCACATTTATTTTTAATAGTATTTTATTTTCCAATTACATGTAAAGACAATTTCTAACATTTTTTTTAGTAAAATTTTGAGTGCCAAATTTTCTCCCTCCCTCTCTTCCCTCTTGCCTCCCTAAGACAGCAAGCAATGTGAAAGAAGAAACAGTTTGCAAAAAAATTATAGTCTATACAAGGAAAAAAACACACACAAAAATAAAGTGAAAATAGTATACTTTGATCTGCATTCAGACTCTATCAGTTCTTTCTCTGGAAAACATCACATTTATAAGATTGAAATTCCAGGTCATGGGAAACAATGAACCAGGGTCCCCACAACCTCTTTTCCCCTGGAGAACCAGTTGTTAAACATTTAGCAATGTACCCCTGAATATGTTCCCTCTACCCTACACTGGCAATGATTGTACTATGATTTTAGTACAACCCATATTATCCAAAGCAAATGTTGGAGCAGCAAGGACACAAGTGTTTGAGCAGGGAGCTAATTGTCAACTACTGGCTCTTTTTCTTTCTTTTTCTTTTTTTTTTGTAGGCTGATTTTCTCAGCCTTTGTGAATCACCTTTCTCTTCTCTGAACTCTTATAGAATTTATGGAATATGTCAAGCAAATTTCCACTTGATCCTCTGCTATTTTGTTTCAGTCAGGAAGACCTGACTTCAGATTCGACCTCAGACACTAGATGTTTGAACCTGGGCAAGTCACTTACTCCTATTAGCCTCAGTTTCTTCATCTGTAAAACAAATTGAAGAAGGAAATGACAAACCACTTCAGTATCTTTGCAAAGAAAACCTCAAATAGAGCCATCAAAAGTTGGACATGACTAAATGACTCAACAACAAGATATGTTGTTTCAACTGGGACATCCTGCTCACCAGAAACTTGTAGTATTGTATTTCAATCCGACTTTTGTTACAGTTCACTCACACGACTTTTATTTTTTGCTGATTCTCTAGCGCATTCTGTTACAGCAGATGTTTCACAACTCTGCTCTTTTAAAATCCTCAATCCCAATTTTGTTGCATTTACTACCAAATGATCTCATTTCCTTCTTTAATAAGATGATTGAAGCCATCCAGATTGAGTGCATCCCTCATGCACTTGTCTTTCTAACTAAAATAATATTTCTATAACTATTCTTTCAACTTTCCAGCTTCAGAGGAAGAGGTATCCCTTCTTTTTTTCCCCCTAAAATTAATCTTTTTTACCTGTTCTCTAAATCCCATGTCCTGCCTCTTTTAGGACCTTACTCCCATAATGATAGTATTTGCACACTCACTACCATCTTGAATCTCTTACTCTTCCTTCTCTCTTTCTCCTTGATCTTCAAACATGCAAGTCTCATATTCTGAAGAAACTTTCCTTGTTTCAGAAGAAAGCTTTGACTAGATAAATGCTAAATGTATTTATTTCATGCAAATTCTTCTCTGAGTGTTGCTTTTTTGCTTGTTTATATGCAATTATTTTCTTCCCTGGAATAACTGTCTCTTCATCTTCAATATTTGCAACAATCCTGGAAAATTAATGTTTTATTTTTTAAATGAATAAAGATCTAAAAATGCAAAGATTTTAGATGTCACCCTGGAATAATCTGGCATCTCTACTTTTTGACTAGTCCAACTTATTATAGACTAGGTTCATTGTCCTCCCCACTCCCCAGAAGCACCCTTCCACTTGAGGAGTCTTTGAGGAGCACATCCAGTTGATAGTCCTATTTTTCATCTTGTATGGTCAGTTTTCATGCACTGTTTGCAAATGGCCCTGATGCATTGAAACTTTTAGCCATTCAAAAGGCTGAAAGTGATGCTCCATAGAACCGCTCTCTGAAGTAATTTCACTGTGTGAGTATGTAGGCATTGTCTCTTAGAATAGTTCTTTATTAGTTGTCTTAGTAACTTCTGTTTTTCCCCAGCTGTGTTGGCCCATTAAAAATTCCCATCTTAGTATTATATTTGCAATGAGAAAATAGCCTAAATTTATTTACAATACTATAAAAATCTAATGTTCCTAAGAAACCTTTAGGGAATTTTCAGAGATAGAAGCCCATTTTGAAAGATAAAGCAAATGGGGAGATATTATGATTTTATCTTTTTATGATACATACATGCTCCAAGCTTTGACAGATCTAATTTATAAAGTTCCCAAACAAGTAGTGATTCTATAGAATTCGGAAGAGTCTGCCATACCTCTGAAAAATTTTTTTTCTGGCAGATAGTGAACATATGTTGAGTATATGTCCAATCCAGTTTCTATTTCTTGTGTGGTACATTTATTAAGCACCCACTCTGGGCTCCATGGTGTATGAGAAGGTTGGCTGGATTGGAAGCCAGAAGGCATAGATTGGAGTCCCAGATTTACCGCTTGGAAAGCCACTTTCTCTGGTCCTGTGCTAGGTGGCCTTTAAGGTTCCTTCCAGCTGCAAATCTACAATCCCTCTATGAATTACAGCTGGAAGGCACGGCAGAGATCATCTATTCCAACCCCTTGACTTCACAGAGGAGGAAAGTGAACACCAGAGATGATGACTTCACCAGAGTCACAAAGGAGTAAGTAGCAAGGTTAGAATTTGAACCTGGCTCCTTTAACTCTAAAAAGCATGGTGCTAAGCAGTATCTATGCAAAAATAAATAAATATGATACAGCCTTTGGTTCCAAGCAATTTACAAACCAAGAGGAGAAAGAAGGTAAGGACACAAATAATTACAGTACAAATTAGAATTTGAGAGTAAGGCGCTATGAGACGCTGGAAAGTGTATTTCTGTCTAGGGCAAAAAAAAAAATAATAATGTAAGGCTATGGAAGGGTTGCTGCTGTATGTTAGACCTTTCAGGATAGCAGGGATTTCAACAGATTATGCTGTGAAATCAGAGGGAAGGCATTCCAGTCTAGGAACTGGACCTGTGATTTTGCTGGTATTGGGAACTCCCTGGTGAGAAAGCTGCTTGAGGAAAGGCATGCAGATACGGGAAAGAGCTGAATGACTTCTGGACCAGCAGTTCAGCTTGGCTAGATCTTAAGAACACTTGTTGGGAGCACAGTGGGAGATCACTTTGGAGCCAGTTTGGGAGGGCTCTGAAAGCCAGAAAAGGAATTTGTACTTTATTAGGTAGTCGATTAAAGAAAAACAAAAAGGTTGTTGATTTCGACAGAAAGAGGAGGGATAAGTAAACTGAAATGTGCTTTAGGAAGATTAATCTGAGGTTTGGTTTCTATCGGGGACACCAATTAAGAGGTGAGCAAGAAACTTTGCAGTGGAATCTTAAGATCTCAGCAGCTGATGGTCTGGTATGGTTAGGGAGGAGTCAATGACTGAGGTGAGAGGGGTTGGGTTCTCCTGGCTGGGAGGTCGCTGGAGCCACACCAAGTCTAACTTGCACTTTCTAGATGACATGTGCCTGGAGGATAGGTGATTCTCTTATAACTACCATGGTGGCCATATGATGACATCGAGAGCTCTTGGTCAAAGCCGGGAGGGAGAGTCCTGCTCCTCTATTCTAAGCAGTCTCTTCGGGCTTCCTCCAGGTAAGGAAGTAACATTCTCAAAGCCAGTCCCCTGCCAGTGTCGTGGTCACTCTCCCTGGACCGCCTTAAGACCCCCCCCCCCGCGAGGGATTCGCGGAGTTGTTGACCTTTTTTCACAGTGGCCAAAAATTCAAGGGCACAGGCCTGCAAGCTGATGTTTCCCCACGTTCATTTCCTCCCAGGGATACAGGCACGCTCACTTTTCCCGCGAGAATTGACAGGAGTTCGCACTCCTCCACCCAGATCTCCGCATGTTTACGCGTTGCTAGGGGAGACGGCTCTTAGGTGACACAATCCTCACCCTCAGACGCCTACGTCAGGGCAGACCGCTTGCGGAGCAGCACCCCGGGCAGGAGGTTCGAGTTCGGATACCTGGAGAGGCGCGCTGGCGCCCTGGCCAAGCATGAGCCGAGACAGCTGTAGCGGCAGTGGCGGCAGCGGGGCTAGCTCGCGGCCCACCTCCACCTGCTCTAGGCTCTTTGAGATGACTAGCAACGCAGCCTTCCATGCCTTCTCTCCAGGAGCTGCGCCCGAGGTATCTAATGGTCTCAGGAGGCACTACTGGGTGCAGGTGCTAGTGGAAGAGTCAGGAGGGGCGAATGGATATGCCCAGATTTGCAGATTATCTCCATCGTTCTCCCTATTTGTCTTTCCTCTTCTCCTTTCGTCTCCCCCCCTTTTCCTTTTGCAATTAAAAAAAAATATGTAAGAAAAAAGTGAGAAAGCTGCACGGGGAAATGACTAGAGAGAGGCAGGAACACCTGAGTTCAAGCTTTCTCTTTGACCTACACTGGCTTTATAACTATTATCTCACTTAACCTCGCTGTGTTCTGGGCAACTTCCTAAATTGCAGAGAAAGGTGCCGACCTGCTTTATTAAAGGGAGTTCCCTCACCAGGGGAGTTTGGACCCCAGGAAAATCACAGATCCATTCTCTATTCAATTTGGGACTAAAAAGATAGGAGGAGGTTCAAAAGAAAATAATCTATGAGATGGATGAAATTGGGTGGGTCCCTCAGTAGCCTGAACACCCCAGTTTAAAAAAAAAGTTTGGGTCTAGAAGACTCTAGCCTCTAATAGAGTCTGTCTGAAAATTTAGTGAGACTAGCTTCAATACTGGCCGGTTTCTTTGGTTACAATTATAGTTTATATCTGCTAGTAGACAGTAGTAGTTGAATATTCACTCCAGGGAATGAGTTTGAAATATGCTTAAATTACAAATTGACCCTCTAGGCTTTTCTGCTGAGGTCAGATACCCCACACTAAGAGCCACAAACAAAAACTTTCTTTTATTTCTAGCTCTTACAAGACTTTATTACTAAAGGCATTCTCTCTGGTTTGTTCTGTAATGTTCTCGTGTCAATTTCAAGTAAAATAAGAGAACTATCTTTTTTCTGTTGCACTTTATCTCAGCATGGGAGAACTGTAATGATTTAAGGGGTCAGGAAATATTATTTTTGCATTCAAGCAGAAAATTGTAAATGTAAACTAATAGGAATGATCTAGGCGCTGAAGAGACTCAATTTTAAGGTGTGCTTACATATTTCAGAGCATTCTGAGAAAGAGTATTCTTAGTTATGAATTTCTTATCTGGGAATAAACACTGACTCACTTAAATCATATGCATATCTATTTTTCTATTCCCCCACCCTGAAGTGGGAGAATTTCTTTGTCTGAAGATGAGCACTATTTCAAAATTTATTATTTGTTTCAAAGACCAAGAGTTTGGAGATACTATAGGTGGGGTCAGTAATTCAGGGAGGAATAGTGAAAGAGGGCTGGATTTGGAGTTCAAATCCAACCTCAGACCCTTGATCCTTATTAGCTGTATGTCCCTGGGCTAGTCACTTAACTCCAACTGCCTTGCTAAAAAGCAAACCACCACCACCACCACCACCACCACCACCAAAAACCACAAGAGAACTGTGTGCTATGGAAATCTTATCATTTTGGATGTGAGTGAAATAATCAATTGGGTGAAGTTCTGGAAGGTGGACTATGTTGACAAGAATTGGGCTGGATGAGCTATTAAGTTGTTTTCTTCTTTTGTGCTTTTATTTTACACGGATAATTAGGATGTTTCAATAGTAATGCTATTCATAATACCCCATATCAGACACTTTTGTTGAGCAATTTATTAATTCCCATATCCCTTTGCATTATTGTGGATAAGGTAAGACAAGATAGGTAATGTGGTGTAATGTGTGTATATATAGAGAGGGCTGGCCTTGGAGTTAGGAAGAGTTCAAATCATGCTTATGATACATACAGCTGTGTGATCATGGGCACATCATTCCCCAACCCCACTTATCAGTGACTGCTGCTATCCTGTACAAGTGGAAACAAATCATGTCAGCCCTTTTACTCTATCCTCACCCTTCTCCAAAAAAGATGAAGGATCCAAACAATAGATAGTAAAACAAATTTTTCAATGACCAAAATGAAAACACAGGATCACCAATTTTTGGTTTCTGTAATGAATTTACTGTATTTTTTTTAAAAGCAGCTATAGTGGCTTGCTTCAAAGAATAAAGATTACTGCTCAGCTTAAATTTGAATTGTTACAAAGGTTTACTTCCATAAGTTCAAGGATAAACTTTTTCTTTTAATTGAAAAAGGGAGTAGCTCGATGCACCAGGAATTATTTACAGTATGCTTTGTTATCCAAGGTTCCCTTTTCCTTATTCCTTTGTTTTCCTTCCAATTTTTCCTTTGAAACTGGTAGTTTAGTGATGTTGATCTAAGGCAAAAGAGTTCAAAGACATAGTTTAGAAATCTTCCCTCTTTTCCTTATTCACATCACCAAAGCTAATTGTTATTGTAGTTATCACTCTATAGTTCAGATGTTGCTTACTGAATTTTATCGTGTTACATGCAAAAATCAAGTATTGTCTGTATAAATCACTTACTTAAATACATGGGAGTATCAAAATAAACTTTTAAAGCTTAATTCATCAGGGAAATAAAGTGTTTTTTGAATCATGTCCATCAGTTTTGCTTGTTTTTTTTTTCTCTTAGAAACATGAGATCATAATATTCTAGCTTATGTGAATGTTAACAGCAGGATAACAATTTCTGACTTGAATGTAGGTTCATGTACCTATCCTCCAAGTAATATGTACAACTTAGGAGGTGGGGTTACTATAAGCACAGGTCAGTGAAGGAACCAAAACCCGGGCTTTCCCCCCAATCTGACTCTTTGGGGCTTTGAATTTCTTCAAAGAAATTTGGTTCTTGTCCTTTCAGCACAAAGCCTTAGAGGGCTCCCTAGCAGTGCAGAGAGATGGTACAGATTCCTTGTTGCTTTGGGAAAGGGGAGAGAAGCGTATTTGCTGAACCTTTGAAAACCTTACAGTTAGTTTCTACTGATGGGGCAGGATAGTTGAACAGGAATCACATGACTATATCCAGGCATAGCAAATTTTTTTTTCTTTCTGAGAGCCGTATGAATAAGAGATTGAGGAAAGAAATAAGTAGCAGTTATTAAGGGGTTATCAAAGTAGTTGAGGTGAGAAGCAATAATGGCCTGGAGAATTATAGTGATCATGGGAATAGAGACGCAGGGAGAGATGCAAAAGATGTTGAAGTAGAATGGACAGGACTTGATAACTCTTTGATATTAGAAGAGAGGGAGAAAGGTTAAAGCACTTTCAAACAATAGAGATGAAGCAATAATGGCGGTGACACTGCAGCAACAGAAATAGTGAAATCAGAAGGAAAATTAGGTTTAGGGGGACAGATGTGGGTTCAAATCCCACTTCTGATGATTATTACCTGTGCAACCCTTGGGTAAGCTACTTTGCCTTCTCAGTCTGCTCCTCTGTAAAATGAAGGGATTGTGTTAAATGAGCCCTGAGGTTCCTTTCAGATCCATGGGTCACTGTAGATTTCTGCTTCTGGTCCCCATTATAATACTTGGAAGTGTTTGAACAGGTTGATGAGAGTTACATGCAGTGTGGAAAATCAATATCTCATTAAACCAAGGAAATACTATTTAGCGTTTCTTAAACTGTAGGGGTTGTGAAAAATTTGGCAACAGTAAAAGGTTCCTGGACATGCAACAACCAAAAATTAATTCAAAATCAAACTTGTAATGAATCCAAGGTGTTTCTGACGGTGATTGTCCGTGTTGCATCTTGATCCTGAACACAAAGCATGTGCACTCTGCACTGCGTGTGCCCTCAGGCCAAGTAACACCAAGAAACATTGCCAAAAGGTGAAGAGGAGTAAAAAAGTTTAAGAAGTCCTGCTTCTTAAGATCTATAGCCCTGTAGGGGTATTACACAAACAGGACATGATCTAGTTTTCATACTGTCATGGTTTGGATGTAGCATTTCGAGGGCACCTGTTCTCTCTGGGCAAGGAAAATCCTGCCAGTTTGCAGATGCTCCAAAGTCTCTCTGAGTTGAAATCTACAATATCTAGCGGCTTATAAGTTTAATTTTGAGGATCAGGAACTGGTAGGCTATGAGTACTGATTAGTCTGGGTGTAAGGTGAGGAATGGGAGCTGTTGTAATTCCTTTATGTATGGTGGTGGGCATGCAGGGGTCAGCTGTACTTGGTGTCCTCTTAGTTTCTCTCTTTTTTTCCTCCCTCTCCCCCCCCACAAGTGATTCCCTCTCAGGCTGAAGCTTCTCCATTACTAGACTGCTGGATTGTGTGGTCCCAAAATGGCTTACATTTTAAAATAGAGGCCTTGAGTTGATTCCGATTTTTTTCATCCAATCACAACATTTTTCCTGTGTGGCTTTCAAATTGTTTAGGGACTCATTCACACCTAGCTTATGCCTTTGGGTAATTGATTCAATGAGGGTGTTCAGGCCTACATGATTACATTAATTGAGGTGGGATTGAAGCCTAACCCTAATACAAAGATAATAGCTGACATTTATATAGTGCATTAAGTTAAAAAAATGCACTTTTGCACATATTATCTCTTTTGTTCCTTATAATACCCCTGGGAAGAGTAGGTACTATAATAGATGAGGACACTGAAGCTC